CAAAAAAAATGTGACAATGAATATATGTATCTTCATGTGTAACTGAAAAATTGTGCTCTACACTGGAATTTGACACAACATTGTAAAATGACTATAACTCAACAAAAAATGTAAAAAAAATAAAATAAAATATAAACAGATGCATGGTGGTTATCATAACTGATGCCATCTTGGGCCTGTTCGGTTCCTCCTGCCCTTCCACTGAACCGACGTAGGGCTGTATTGTGTAGTGAGTCTCTCCTCTGCCATCAAGGGCTTTGCAGTTAATAGATATTGTTTAATGATTGTTAGGTCCAGTGGCCTCTATGCTCTGTTAGTCTCTAAACAATAATGAAGACCTTCACTGACGTATCACCAGTGCCCATGAGACTAGTTACCCATTCATAAATCCTGACTTAGGAATGCATTTCCTGCTCCTAAGCACCTACCCTGATACCCTAGGTTAACTATAAAATTGTCCAAATGGTCCCTCACCTGTGCAGAGCGCAGCTGTGAATGCTTCCGGATCACTGACCACCCGATCCCACCCTGTAAGTTACTCTATAATAATAAACTGATCCATTGGTTATATGGAGCTTCCTGCCTCATTTTTCGGTCTCATGGGCACTGTACATTCCCTCCATCCTCCAACAATACAGAACAGTGTTAACGAGAGACACAGGAGACTTGGGAGATCAAGGTTTTTTTTTTTAACTACTAGAAAAGAGAGCGAAAGAAAGAGAACTGGAAATCAGCAGAACGAAGAATTTTAAAGATGGAGGATCAACAAGTTTTTAAAAAGCAGAGAAAATGTATGTGTGAATAGAAAAGAACTAGACTAGAAACAGGCTTATAAAACTCGGCACAAAAATGATTTCCAAACTAGAATTCTATACCAGCCAAAAAGATAAATTTAGTGTCAGGGTCAAATAAGTATATTTCCATGGCATTTATTACTTTTTGATTTCTATAAATGTATTTATACAATTACATATATTATATGAATATACTTTACATGACATTTCCAGACATGCAAAGCTTCATAAAGTCCACCTGTCACACATCCATTCTCAAGGATATACTGGAGGATGTGCTCCCACAAAATGAGGGGGTAAACCAATAAAGAGGAAGACACAGGATACAGGAAACAGGAGGGAAGACATAGGATCCCCAGGAAAGGGAAGCTGACACAAGACAGAGGTAAAAAGGATTTACTGGGGAATGGCAAACAGAAGACTCCAAGGTCATAGCTGTGTGTGAAGCTGAGAGGTCAACCAGACCAGCCTTCAGCAAGTCAACAAGGTCCAGGAGAGATTTCTTTAAAGAGAAGACATTGATAAGGGGTGGAGTATAGCTCAGCAGTAGAGCATACACTTGGCATGCACAAGGTCCTGGGCTCAATCCCCAGTATCTCCATTAAAAAAAAGATTACCAGGAGAAGACACTGATGCCCAAAGTTGAGATAGCCTCCCCTATCGCTAGCTGTGTTAACTTGGGCCAAATAGTTTCTGTCTATGCCCCAGTTTTCCCCTCTATAAAATGGACATAACAACGGCACCTACTTCTCGAGGTCGTTATGAGATGAGTTAGCATATGTACTGTGTGTGTGTAACAGTGCTGGGCACATAGTAAATATTATACGAGTGTTTATAATTATAGTCACTATGATTATTACCTAATATGTCTGAATATACAGAGAGGAGACTTAAACAGCTGGAAAGAATTTGGAGTTGAATTACTGATATGTATATAGTGAAGCAAAGAAACAACGAAACCAGAAAATGGTTAATTCCAGGGAAAAGAAAAAGTTGCACAAGAAAAAAAAAAGAAAACGTTTTACAGAAATAGTAACCACGCATGGATACTGCATGACTCACCTATAAACACGCTAATAAACACTGAGGGTAGATTTGATCAAAACAATGGTAGAAACAAATGTGTACGTGAGTGCAGATGCATGGAAAAGCTAAATATCCACCTTCTAGAGTGGAAAGTCAATAGATAATGCCCAAAACTAAAAAAAAAAAAAAGAATCCATTAAAAAGATTAAGAGTGCTTGCTTCCAGGGAGCTGGAATTTGAGAGACACAAAAGCAGAGAAGAGAAAACAAACTTACGGTTACCAGTGCGGGGGAGGGGGTGGGAAGGTATAAATTAGGAGTTGGAGATTTGCAGATACTAACTACTATATATAAAATAGATAAACGACAAGTTTACACTGTATAGCACAGGGAACCACATTCAATATCTTATAGTAACCTATGGTGAAGAATATGAGAACGAACGTGTGTATGTTCCTATGTGACTGAAGCATTGTGCTGTACACCAGAAATTGACACAACATTGTAAACTGACTGTACTTCAATAAAATATATTTTTTAAAAAACAAAAAAAGCAGGGAAGAGACATTTTTAAAGACTTAGAGAACTGACATCTTTTGCCACTTGTGAATAAAACTAGAAACTAATTTCAAATTAGGGTGGCAAAAAATATTCACAAAAATATACAAGAATGATAAAGGGTTATTAACCTTAATATTTTTTTAAAAAATCTCTTTAAAAATCCGTAAGCTAAGATAAATAAATCAGCAATGGACAGGAGAAGAGAAGGAAATTCACAGACAGGAAATGAATCACCCACCATAAAAATCCTGATTATGCTGCCTGGCTAAAAAAAAAAAAAAAGTCATACACATCAAAATAATGCGACTATCTTTCATTCTGGATGAATTCCTGCTACTGGGCGCCTCTTCCTCCTCCTTACCTCACAGGAGCTGTCAGGTCCCTCTGTAGTCAGGGCCACGGATGGCCCAGGAGAGCTCTGATCGGCAGGCATGGTCACGCAGGGCCTCAGCCCTCAGGCTCTCTTGTGGACAATTCTGATCTTCCCAGGAGCCCAAGAATAGGTGGGCACCTGTGGATTCAGCCAGAGCTTCTGGGGCCAGAAGGAAGATCCTGTAGCCTTCACTACGGGGTCTGACCCAGCGGCTCCTCAGAGACTCCAAGAAACCTGGAAAGACAGTGTCCACATGGTCAGTCACTCAGCGTTCACCCCACAAGCGCTTCCTGGGAGGGCACTGGACACTGTGGAGCAGATAAAGCCAGGCCAACACCTATTGGAGTTATTCATCAAGTTGGAATATGAGTGAGACCGTGAGATTTAGACTAAAATTAATAAAGGCTTAAATTTTGGCTCTGCCAACTTTTAGCTACTTTTAACACCAGATTGGCCCAGGTGAACATTTAATTCATATTAGCAAGTATCGTTATTACAGGGAATCATGTAATGTGTCGAAGGAGGTCCCTCATTTAATTTGCACAACAATCATGTCACCTCTGTGTTGTTCTTTGGCACATCATCTTGAAGTGTTTAAAATTTAACTTGTTCATACCTTTCATTTTATTTTATACCTTGAAATCATTATCTTACATGAAAGAGGCCAGTCACAAAAGACCATATATTTTATGATTCCACTCATATGAAATGTCAGAATAGGCAAATACATAGAGACAGAAAACTGACCAGAAGTTGCCTAGGGCTAGGAGTGCAGGGTGGAATGAATGATGGATGTCTGCGAACGTGCACAAGGTTTCTTTCTGGCATGTTGAAAATGTTAGTAAAATTAGACTGTGGTGATGATCGCACCACTCTGTGGATGTACTAAAAACCACGGAATTGTCTACTTTAGAAGGGTGAATTTACAGTCCTGAATATATCTGAATAAATCTGTTTTATATATCTAAATAAATAAATCTGTTTTAAAAGAAAAGAAACACTTTCCTAAATAACCCAGGATCAAAGTCAGAAATCAATACAGAAGCTACACAGTTTTCACCCATAGCCATGGAACATGCTAAAGTTGCACACAGAGTGAAATGCATGGCTTCAAATGGCTTTACTTCTAATTAAGAACAAATACAACAGGTGCAGACGGCGTCACCTGGAGCTTGAGCAGCGGCAGATGGTATGCAAGACAATGGCCAAGAACAAACTAAGAGGACAGAGGTCCAGGAATGTTTTCCATATAACCAGCCAAAAAACGTTAAGGTTAAAAATAAAGCCAAACCAGTTACCACTAATCTTATGAAGATAAACACTTCTTATGTATATGATGTGTGTGATGAAAAAGTTAATAGAGTGAACAAAGCTTTTGTAGATACACAAAAGGCATTTGCACATTTCTCAAAAGACCCTCCTCTTGAACCTCTGCAGAAACAGCTGACACCTCAGCAGTGTCATAAAAATGAACCCGCTAATGTTGATGAAGCTACAAGATTAACGGCTCCGCTGTAATACACTGGTGATGTATCAAATTCCCCCCACCCAAAGGCCACTAAATTAAATGTTTTATACATTGAGTAAATAAAAAAATAAAACCCCCCAAAAAAGAATTATGTGTTCAACCTAAATCATCAGAAGTAGGAAAAACAAAATTAAGCAGTAGTGATTCATTAAAACCTTTAAAAAAGAGACAAATGAACTTATGTATAAAACAGAAACAGACTCACAGACATAGAATACAGACTTGTGGTTGCCAGCCGGGAGGGAGGAGGGGGGTGGGAAGGGATAGACTGGGAGTTCGAGTTTGCAAATACTGACTGGTATATATAAAACAGATAACACGTTTCTACTGTATAGCACAGGGAACTATATTCAATATCTTGTAGTAGCTCACAGTGAAAGAGAATATGAAAATGAATATACGTATATTCATGTATGACTGAAGAATTGTGCTGTACACCAGAAACTGACACAACATTGTAAACGGACTATAACTCAATAAAAGAAAAAAAAGAAAAGAAGTTAATAATAAAAACCTTAGATAAATCAAATAAATGTAACAATAGGGGTTTAAAGAAAACAAAGAGCTGGTCCTTTAAAATGAGCAATGTCATAGATAATGCCCTAGCAAATGAAATACAGAAGGGTTAAAAAACATACATATGTACATATGTGTGTGTATGTATGTATGGGTGTATATATGTGTGTGCATATATATATATAAAAAGACACACAGATATATATATATATATATATATATATATATATATATATATAGAGAGAGAGAGAGAGAGAGAGAGAGAGAAAATCTTTTCCAGATGAGGCAGTGTTTCGAAGTAGTTATTGTGGGATATTACGCATAACTGTACAGCAACGTATTTAATATTTATGAGAAACAGGTGCTTCCCCAGCAAAATGTAAATTAACAAAATTAATACAGGAAAAAACAGATAGACGAGAATAATGAATGTAGAAGAGACCCAGAAATAAAATGACATAACACAATACAAATCGAAAGACTCTGAAAGGTAGAAAGGGAAGGTGGAGAGTCTACAGATCTCACAACACAGTGGTGAATTCCCTTCATTTTCCCTCCCATATATCACAAACAGGGCACTAGAGAAGCTTATAACTCAGAGCCATCAAAAGGTACAGACAAAAAAAGCTCTAAGAAAAGCCTACTCCTGTTAATCAAAAGACCAAAAAAAAAAAAAAGGCAAACTAACTGAACATACCCACCCTACTCCAGACAAATAGGATACACATTCTCTTCAATTACCTGTGCAACATTCTCCAAGACATGCCTTACCCCGGGGCATAAAACAAACCTCAACAAATTGAAATCACACAGCATATGTTCTTTGACTATAATAGCTTCAAACTAGAAATCAATAAGAGAAAGTTCATGGGAAAGTCTCCAAACATTTGGAAATTAAACAAAACATTTGTATATGATCCATGGATCAAAGAGGAATTCTCAAGGGAAATTAAAAAGTAATGCATCAATATGAAATGCAACATATCAAAATTTGCAGGATGCAGATAAAGCAGTACTGAGAGGGAAACTTACAATCGTAAATGTTTACATTAGAAAAGAATTAAGGAATGAAATCAATAAGGTAAGCTCCCACCAAAGGATACTAGAAAAAGAAGGGCAAAATAAACCCAAAGCAAGAAGGAAGGAAGGAATAAACATAAGAGCAAAATCAGTGAAATTGAAAACAGAAAAACAACAGAGATAACTCAATGAAACCAAAAAGCTGGTTCTTTGAGAAGATTGATAAAATTGGTAATCCTCTAGCAAGACTGACAAAGATGAAAAGAGAGAAGACACAGATTACCAACATCAGAAATGAAACAGGAGATATAACTATAGATCCTGCAACTATTAAAAGAAAAGGGGATACCACAAACTACCTTATGCATGTAAATTAACAACTTGGATGAAATACTCCAATTCCTCACAAAACACAGACTCCTACAAATTACCTACTATTAAATACATAGATACTCTGAGAAGATATTAGATAACCTGAATAGTCATTTACCACAGAAATTGGAGCCATAATCAAAAAACTTCCAAAAGGAAATTTCCAGGCCCAGATGGTTTCACAGGAGAATTCCAGCAAACATTTAAAGAAAAAATAGCATCGTTCTACACAATCTCTTCCACAAAGCAGAAGGGGAGAAAACACTTCCTGACTCATTCTATGAGATCAGTATTACCCTAATACTAAAACCAAAGACGGTACAAAAAAAATTATAGGCCAACATCTCTCATGAACTTAGGCACAAAAATGCTCAAAGAAAAACTATTAGCTAATCAACTCCTGCAGAAAAGAATTGCACACCACAACAAAGTGAGATTTATTCCAGGAGTGTAAGGCTGGTTCAATATTCAAAAATCAGTATATTCCCCCATATTAACAGGGTAAAGTAGAAAAATCACAGGATCATATAAATTCATACAGTATTGACAAAACTCAACACACATTCATGATAAAAGTAAACAGACACATAGATCAATGGAACAAAATAGAGAACCGAGAAATAGCCCCACAAAAGAACAGCCCATTTATTTATCACAAAGGTGCAGAACAAGTAAGTGGAGGAAATACAGTCTTTTTAACAAACGGTGTTTGAGTCATTGGATATCCGAAAAAAATGGACATCGATCTAAGTCTCATACTTTATACAAAACTTAACTCAGAATGGATCATGGTCACGAGGAAGGAGAAATGAACAAATCACTATCACAGTGGAGACGAATCTCTCCTTTCTCTGTAATAGGATAAACAGACAAAAAAGAGTATAAATTTTGTATAACACAGTTGACAACTGAACAATTAAATATTATTTTCGAATTATACATGGAACATGTATTAAAAATTCACCAAGGACTAGGCCATGAGTCCCCTCAGATTTCCAGGAATGAGCTTCATGTAGACATATTTCTGACCACAGAACACTAAGGTTAGAAGTCTAGTAAAAAGGTAAACTTTCGTAAAATGAAGATGTACTTCCAAATAATTCATGGGCAAAAGAAAAATGATCAACTCTGAGAAAACACTTAGAACGTAATGAACCAAATCTTGTGGGTCTCAGAGTGAACTTTAAGACCTTAACGTTGATATGAGATAAGAGGAAAGCCTGAAAAATAACGAACGAATCACCCAACTACATTCGGACAACCATCACTGACCATACAGAATTCCCCAACACTCACCCTCCCCGGGTCCCCATCACCTCCACATCCCTCCGGCACAGGGCACTGAGATCCTCTTGACAACAACTATCAAACCGCGGCTGAAAACCGCAGCCGCTTCCGGTCACCACCTCTAGCACCGCCCCTTCTCGGGGTTTGGGGCTTCGCCATGAGGGGCGTGGCTTTGCACATGCGCACAATCACATTAGAAGCCACCGCCAGCCAAGAGTCAACATGGAGTCATTACGGAGTCGGTGTTTTGGGGCATCTGGTGCCTCTCGGCCGCCGTAGTCAGGCGGGGAACATGGCCGCGCCCAGGTCGCGCTTCCCCACGGGGCACGCCATGTTGGAGGAATGTCCATTCCGTACAGAGGGTGAGGAAGCGTCTAAACTCACTTTGCAGAGCAGTGGAGCTGTCTCACAGGGGTGGGGACTTATCTCTGGGCGGGCTTCCTGGAGGAGGGGTCTCTGGATCTGTACTCAATGGATCTGTGTAATAATTTCAGAGAAGCTGAGGGGCCTCTGGAAAGACGCAGAGTGGCTGCTGTCTCGTGGCAGATAGCAAAGGATGAGAAGGGAGGAGAAGTCAGACTGAGTGCAGGCCTCTCCTGGAACATACCACGAGGAAAGAAAGGGAAGAAATCAGGGACCTGCAAGCCCTCCTAGGATACAGCACTCGGGGTGAAAAGGAGAGAAGTCAGTGTTAAGTTTCCCCTCTGCTGGGCTTGTGGGGTTTGGCTGTGGGATTTGGATGTTCCCATAATCTACATTATCTCCTACTCTGGCTACCTCAGCTAAAATAAAAATATATACTAATAATGATTTTTATTTTTCCTTACTTTAATGCAATGTCTTTAAAAATGTCTTTAGGAGATTATTTTTATTTTCCCAGAAAATAAAATCTATGTAGTAATACGGCCCTTACTTTGCAAATGTAGCTTTAAGGCTGGACTGATTCTACCCTTGAACCAGTTTGCTGCCCCTTATCACCACCAACGTGGAGATTCTGGAGATGCTCCTGCCCTCCTGGGAGAGGTCACTGGGCAGAAGGGGAAGAAGGTGTGCTGCCCTTCACCTGGGAATGCCTACTTATCCTTCAAAACCGAGTTCAGATATCTCCTCCACCAGGAAGGCCTCCTGACAGAGATAGAAGGCTCTGTGCCCCACTGAAGGCCTTTCTGAATCCTCAAGTGAAGAAAGTATTTTTGTTGCCAGTGATTCGGTTCTTACCTCATCCCAGAAAGAATTCAGAGATGAGACACGGAGGTTAAGAAAGCAGGGATTTATTAAGGGATGGATAGTACACTCTCCAGGGGAGAGCGGGCAGGCTCAGGTGAGCAGCTGTGCTTGGGTTTTTTGGTAAGTTGGTTACACAGAATGTAAAAATGAATGGGCAGTATATTCATTGGGGAAGGAAGGGTTTGGGGTCTTATTCCCTGATTTTCATCCCAACTCCACCTTCCCAAGGGGAGGAGGGATTTTTGTCCTTAGTCTGGATCTGAAGTGTCATGGTGTCAGTGCGTGATGCGTACTTCTAACCTGTAAGGCTAATTTTATTGAAATTTTTTATTTAAATTTTATTTAAATTCATTGGAAACACTGGAGAGTCCTGCCTTTTTCCACCTTTCTTTGTAGGCCTCCAGGCACTTGTCACCCCAAAATGTGTGACCGCTTATCAGCCCAGATGTTCCTGCTTTCCTATGTCTGCCCAGGGACCCCTGTTATTTACATGTATGGTTTTCTGCATTTGGCCCCATGCCCCTCCTTTTTGCCCCATCCCTGCCATTTGGCCTGCACCCCCCTTTCTGTGCTCATATCTAGCTATCTGCATGCTCTAACATTTTGAAGGGCTCAGGCGTGCACTTGCTGGATGCTCTCAGTCCGGTCACATCCCCTCTGGGCCTCAGTTGAATAATCTGGAATGTAAAGGTGTCCTACTCCAATCAGCCTAAGACCATCTGGGACGAATTTTCAGTCTGACAGATCTGTCAGTCAATGAGGGAGACCATACACCATAGGAACCGTGTAGTGGCTCACTAAACAAAGGAAAAAATAAAGTCATTATTGGATTCTGAGGAATGGGGACGTTCCGATGAAATGTAAATGAAGCAGCATTTGGTAAACTCAAAGCAAAGCAAGGCTGTATGTGGACAGTAAAGTGAACCCAGAATCCTGTTTCATTGGAAACAATAAAGTTAAGATAGATATAGAATTTTGTGTCTAGATACCCCTTCTCTCTGCCTGGACCTGGAAATCTTAGCTGCTCTTTTGTGTCTAAGTGACTTAACAATCTCTAGCAAGAGTGGGATATTTTATTTGTACTGCTGTCATTTCACACAGCAGCTTCTGATAGTCTATGATTGTAGAGAACACAGTTTCTCAGTGACTGAAAAAGCAGTAGTCCCTCAAAATAGGAGTTTTTATGGCATTACAGCTACAGGACATCCTTGGGAGAAATAATGTTTCCTGTTAATTTTGCATCTGTCTTTACCTGTGTCTGTTCTCCCAGCCTGATGAAGGGCAGAGCAGATTATAAAAACTTTGAGCTAGCTTTTAATTTCTTAGAGTGTTGGACTCTCTAATTATCCCAGATTATCTTTCTACCCCTAGAGCCCTGGTCTGGGTGTTTGTTGAATGAATAAATGAAAGAAGAAATGGAAGCAGTGGAAGCATATTTGGCACACATACATGTGTAATAGAGGACCAGGAATCATTGTTAATGTTGAGTGTCATAATAGTACTATGGTTACGTTTTTTTAAAAAACTAGGTCTATTACTGTATAGCACAGGGAACCATATTCAGTTTCTTGTCATAAGCTATAATGGAAAAGAATCTGAAAATATAGGTATATATATTTATGTATAATGGAATTGCTTTGCTGTACACCTGAAACTAACATTGTAAATCAACTACACTTCAATAAAAAATAAAGTTAAAATTTTTTAAAAACTAGGTCTTTTAGACTATTTCAGAGAAGAAAGAAAGAGCCGATAAACATATGAAGAGATGTTCCAAGTCTTCAGTTCTCAGGGAAATACAAATCAGCACAGGATGAGATGACACTCTATACTCATTCAATTTGCCAAAATTGAAGTCTGACAATCCAAAGTGGTGGAGCAGATGTACACCCACAGGAACTTTTTGCCCTGTTGAAGGAATATAAACCAGTGTAACCACCTTAGAAAATAGTTGGAATTTCCTCCTACCGTGAATATTTACATACCTCACAATCTAGCCAGTCCCCTCTTAGGGAATATATCCAAGAGGATCACTTTCAACCTAGAAACCTAGAGCATGCATGGTACCCTGTTCATGACAGCAAAACCTGGAAACAGAAATGGATGTTCATCAACAGGCATCAAAATGAATGAACTAGAACAGTACCCAACAATAAGGATGAATTTAAGGGAAAATACCCGTGATTCCCAAAAATAGTATAGAAAGTATAACACATTTTTATAAAATTAAAAGCTACTAATATAAAGAACATGAACTATTTAGGATTTTGTATAGTTGAGGTAAAATTATACAAAAAGGATATCAAAAATGGATGAACTTGGGATTTAGGATGGTGGTTACCTCCGTTGAGGGCAGGCAGGGTAATGAGTTGGGGGAACACGTGGCTAGAGGGAGGTTATTGTCAAGGCCATACCTTTTCTTTTGGGTGATAGGTGCACAAGTGCTAACTATATTATTAAAACTAACTTAATATTGAAGTTAATTGGGAGAATTAAACTGTTAGATAAATATCTAAATGTAAAACGAGAAAAGTCTTCATGGAGAAAAGTGCTGTCCCTTCCTTGAACGGGGTAAGAAAATCTATGGCCGCAGCCCAGAGATGCCCCCCCCGGGGTGGGATGCGCAAGGAGGCAGGAGCTCCATGGTCCTGACTCTTACCGTGGCCACTGCCAAAGTGCCCCTTCTGCAAGACTCACTCCATCACACCATTTATGCACCTGCTCAAATGTCTTTCTTCAGATATCTTTCTTTCCTAACTTACCAAACTCTCTAGCTCCTCGCCATGCTTTCATTTTCTTCACAGCCTTCCTGTTTATTGAAAATTACAGATACATTATTCATCTACTGTTTGCTCATGTCTTTGTACTGATACTAAAGTGATTTCTGCTTCTCACATATGTGGAGTAATCAACTGCTTTATTTTTAGTATCTTTATTCCACATGGGAAGAGCAGTAACACACATAGACGGGATTCATTTTCTTAAAAGATTAATTATTCCTTCCAAAAGACTCCGCAGACAGGATGATATGACTAATTATAAAACTGACTTGGTATGAGTAACACAGGAAATACTAGAAACGTAGAATGTCTAAGTATGTAACACCCTATTTATTCATTCATCAAATATTTATTGATCACCAGTCACTGCTCTTGGTACTTGATGTTTGATAAAACAAAACAGCCCCCAAGTCCCTAGCATCCTAGTAGAGAAGAGAGGCAATCAACATTGTTTGTTAAAAGGTGATAACTCTAAAGGTGGCTGGATAGGACAGAGTGATGTGAACTGGAAATGCTGGGGGACTGCCACTTTAATTAGGAAGAACAGAGTTTCCTTTTAAACTCTACCACTGACTCTCCTGCATTCTGGAGCAGGCTAGTCTCCAACCTTCATATTTATGTGAGCATCCAGCTGAAACCAGGAAGAATGCAAGGTCAGAATATTTTCATACCTGCAATTAAGGACATAATAATGAGCACCTCTTTGTCCTACAGTAGATGCAAGGAGTAATAACCACGGTCTTCTGATCAGTCATGTCTCGCATGCCTTCCTTGTGTAGGCAAAAAATGTTTTACAGTATTTACTGAGCAGGGACCTTTGGACCAACAGCCACAACCATTTACATGTGTCAGTAGATAGAAGGGAATAGTAGCTTAATTTTACACTCAGCTTTGTAATGGAAAAAAATTCACGCTACTACTGGGTAATCACAGAGCCCAGCCCTATCCAGCCCAGAATGTTGAACTGGGGCCCAAAAACGATGTGATTGGTCTGAGGGCATGAAGATATAGAAAACACCAGAGCTCAGAGCTAGGTCCTTTCAAATAGGACCTGCTGGGTCAGAAGGGCTATCAGTGGAGTCTCCCACCACTGTCAGAGAGGGCTTCCCAAAGGA